TTCTCCTCTGACAGAACTTCGGACACCTGCAACAACGCTGGTATTGCTTAGATCACAGCACATTTAAGCACCAGCTGTAACAGGCTGGTCATCATAGGAGATGGACTCGAGAGAGCCTACTGCATTCACAGAAGTGTCAGACAAAGGACAGACCAGGCTGGATTATTCTTGGCTTACAGAGAAAGGGCTAAAGCAAATTTTGATGCTCAAGTCTACTGTAGGTTTTCAGATTCCCAGTCCAAGCTTTTTCTCCAAGTTTCCAGCAGAATCCATTCCCTTTTTTTGTTATTAAAAGTAATCGTATTTTATTTTTCTATCATTAATTCTGTTGAAGAACCAGCTATCATAGGCTGCAAAAAACAGCTGTCACATCTTAATATGAAAACTCAAAAAACACTGATGGACTGCAGCAGGCTATACTGGTCTACTTGTCTTTTCCTTTTTAGAAAGTGCTGTCATACAAGCCATCATGAAGGGTATCTGCCTGATACTTTTGGCTGTTTGTATTTGCATGTATCAGACTACAAGCAGCCCCTCTACCCTGGCCTGTGAAAACACTTCACTTTCACAGTGATGGCCACTGTTAAACCTTGATTTCATCAAACTGGGCTAAAGTGAACAATATCACATCCTAGGGTGCTATATCATAACAGCAATGTGAAGAGAGCACCATGCCCTCATAACTGGTTGCAAGCCACAAACTGTTGTAAATTTTTGAATAGCACATGAAGACTTTGCACTGGGTTTTGTTATTTTGTTTTTTTAGAACAGGAGGAACAAACAGTCTGTTCTGAAAGGTTTTGGTTCTTACTGATTGTTACAGAGTTGTAGTGGCCTTCTCCTTGCATCACTTAGAGGTGTTCTGGATTATTTGGAATGGCCACTGAATCCTAAATCACTTGGGAAATGGAAACCAGAAAAATTCCTGTCTTTAGAAGCTCATGGACCTGCCCCATGCAGCAAACACCCACAGCTTTATTTGCTATCTCTGGGAAAAATGTACACAATAGAAGCGGAAGACCTATTAGGAAGTACTGACTAAATGCTCTTTGTCTGATGTCTGAGGATTTAACGGTGGTGTGTGTTGTGAAGGATTCCTATCACTATGAACCTTACACAGTCCTCCAAGGATAATTTGCAGGCTCTACACTTTACTGACTAAAGGATTGAGGAAATTATTTGGTGGTTCAGCAAATACTCTGGACAGTGAGGCCCACATCTAGGAGACTTTGATTCACAGTGCTCCCAGTTAAAGTTGGTTTAAAGTTGGCTTTGTCAGTTCTTGTCTTCCTTAAAGTCCCTCCTAAGAAGCCCTGCCTTTAACACAGAGCACTTTCCATGAGTATCCACTCTACCCCACAGTTCTCCCTTTCCCTCTCCTTCCCCATCAGGACTGTCATAAGAAACAGTGAATAATCACAACAATGAGAATCAGAAAATGAACAACAGACAGCTCCTTGCCTGGTGGAAAGAGACTGGAGACACTTCAAAGAAAACCAGTGTGTTCCATGAAGGTACCAATGACTTGACAATTTGCTGGGGTTGAAAGTGTTCTGAGGAGGAAGAAAACACACTCTGGTTAAGACATGAACAGGAACTCACTAGAAACTGTTGCTTCGCTCTGACTTCATGACACAGTGACTGGTGAGACACCTGGGTTTAAGGGATGGAGCTGACAGCAAGTACTTGGTGAAGAATCAGTGGACTCCTGGTGCTGGAAACGGAAGTTACCACCTGCCTCTGCTATTGGCTCTTGCAAATGGAAAAAAGGACATTTCTGTCTGCTGGGGTAATGGGTTTAAACTTAAACAGGGAAAGTTCAGGTTAGATATAAGTAAGAAGCTCTCTACTGTGAGGGTGTGAGGCACTGGAACAAGGTTGCCCAGAGAAGTGGTAAATGCTCCATCCCTGGCAGTGTTCAAGGCCAGGTTGGACAGAGCCTTGGGTCTAGTGTGAGGACTCCCTGCCCTTGGCAGGGGGTTGTAACTGGATGATGCTAAGGTCCTTTCCAACCGTAACCATTCTATGATTCTGTGATACAGCCCATCTCTAAGGTGCAAATTTTTCTTACACATCAGCTTCTCTGGACAAAGGGGAAACTCTCTTCCCTTTTACTCTCTGAGGAGAGTTGCTGCAAGGGGTGCATAAGCTTCACCTTTTTCAGCCACCTGCAGCAGAGCTCAGGGCTCTTACCATCTGTGCTGTACAGGTCCAGCATTCCCCCATCCCTTTTCCCCCAGGGTGGGACGAGGTACAGGATGAAAGCAATTCTCCGACCTTCCAACTCATCGTCATGGCACAGCAAGACATCTGCAATTACACACGTTTTGCTGCTGTAGCATCTTTCTAGTACGCACATGATTCATTCTAATGACTGCTTCCCAGCTTTGTCCCGCAAGGATACAACAAGAAAAAACACGCCTGTTCCAAGAAGCGCATTTTCACTCGTCAGCATCACCAGCCCAAGATTTGCAAGATTAACTTCTGTGGGACCGCTCTGTAACTGGCAGATTAGCCCACCCTGAAGGTAGAGGCAGTTATAACTCATCCCCTGCCCCTCCCTGTCTGTCCCTCGGCACGGTGGACAGAGATTCCTCACTTAACCAGTGATCCAAGCTCTGACTCCTAAACACAGAACTGCACTTTGAGGAGGTTTGTTGCTGGACTAGAGGGAGGGGGGAACCCTGGGAACTGAAAAACTGGGCCAACAACTGGTTGTGCAGAAGACTTCAAAAGTAGAGCTGACAGCAGTAACAATTTTCCCCTTTCTCCAGGGATTTTTCATGACTAAAATGTAGGCACAGTTGTAACCTGGACTCACAAGGGTGCTGTTTTAGCATCAGACTTTACAACCTCAGCTATAGTGTTTGAAAGCTGAACACATCACCCTTTTGCATGGCAGCAGGCCTGCACGCATGGGCTGAGCAGCCCTGCTAAGGTGGGAACTTGCACTAGCACTGGGCCCAGTTAAAGCCATCAGCAATGGAACTATGCCAGCAGTTTTTCCATGATTTGTACTTCTATTTTCTGAGACTTTGATTTGCTGCTGATAGGACCCTCTGAAACTAGAAAGAGTTTGGGACGGGTCATGAAATTAGTATTCTATAGACGTTTCTTTTATTACACACATACACACCCAGGTTTAGGGAAAGAAATGGTTATAGACTGACCAGTATATTCATATTTAGCACAGGAGATATCAATAGTTGGCTCCAGCTCTATCTGGGTCACGGCAGAAAGCCACGGTCGGAATTCTTCACACAGAGCATGCCTAAGATGACAAGCACAAGATGTCTGTCACTTACACCATGACAGTGTTACAAACTGTATCAGCATAGCCTAAACTAATTTACCACGTCCATTCTACCTATTTAAGCAATTAAAGGTGCTGTTGCTGCCAGTGACAGTGTGTTCCTGTCAAACTACACAGGAGCTGGTTAGGAAAACAGCCCCATGTTCACAGCATTGCTGTCAACTGGAAGGGGAACCAGCAAACATTCTGACAGCAACAGGTATAGGAGGGCTGCAGCTGCACAACAGAGGACAACAGTTATCTGACTTCAGTGCCAGGATTCAAGTCTTCAGGGACAGTTCCTGGCCCACCTGTGGCCCCGGAATTCCCCAGGAAGCCAGCACCTAGGTTGGGGCAATCCCAAGCACAACTATAGGCTGGGCGGAACAGCCCTGAGAAGGACTTTCTCATTTGATTAATGAGAAGCTACCCAAGACCTGCTTGCAGCCCAGAACCCCCCTGCATGCTGGGCTGCACCCCCAAAGCGTGAGCAGGAGGTCAAGGGAGAGGATTCTCCCCCTCTGCTCCTCTCTGGGGAGACCCCCCTTGCAGTCCTGCATCCAGCTTTGGGGCAACAACACAAGAGGGACGTGGAGCTGTTGGAGTGAGTTCGGAGGAGGCCACAGAGATCTGCGAGGGCTGGAGCAGCCCTGCCTGGGGACAGGTTGAGAGAGCTGGGTTTGCTCAGCCTGAAGAAGAGAAGGCTCCTTAAAGGGAGACCTTAGAGCAGCTTCAGTGCCCAAAGGGGCTACAAGAAACCTGCAGAGAGGCTTTAGACAAGGACCTGTAGGGACAGGGCAAGGGGAATGGCTTTAACCTGACAGAGAGGGGACTGAGATGAGACCTTAGGCAGAAGTTCTTCCCTGTGAGGGTTGTGAGGCCCTGGCACAGGCTGCCCAGAGAAGCTGTGGCTGCCCCATCCCTGGCAGTGTTCGAGGCCAGGTTGGACGGGGCCTGGAGCAACCTGCTCTAGTGGAAGGTGTCCCTGCCCGTGGCACGGGTTGCAAGCGGACGAACTTTTGAGGTCCCTTCCAACCCAAATCGCTGTGATTCCATGACTCCCCACCCGGAGGCGGCAGGGCCCAGGACCAACGCTTTACCTCAGCGCCGCGACGTGCGGCTCCGAGCTTTCCCTCAGCTCCTCGGACTGCGGCGGCCCATGGAAGAAAAGAAGGGACAGCGGTTAGTGCTGCCCGGCTCGGCCAGCCCCGGCTCGGCCCGGGCCGGGGCCCACCTGCCGCAGCGAGAGAAGGTCGTTCCGCCGCCCGCGGAAGCCGAGGCCTAGCAGCTCGTCTCGCAGCGCTTCGGCGAAGGCCGAACCCGCCAGGAAGCCGGGAATGACGCCGTGCCGGAACGGGACCGGCTCCACCGCCGCCGCCTCTGCAGGAGAAACGCCGCCGGTGAGGGAACGAGGGGAGGAGGCCTGAAGCGAGTGGTGTCCAGCCGGGCCGTACCGTGTCGGAGCTGCTCCCCACGGGCCCAGGCCTCCGCCGCCCGCTCCCGCAGTGCCGTGTCCCGGAGGATGTCGCTGAGCTCGGCGCGCGTCTCCCGCTTCCCGCGCTTTCTTCCCGCCGGTGCTGGTGTGGCGGCCCCCCGACGCTTGGCGCCCATAACGCGGCCCTAACTCCGTACCGCGGCTCCCGGTACTCCCCGCGCTTTCCGCCGGCACAACCACACCACGAGAGGGCAGGGCGGCTCCTCCCCGCGGTCGCGGCGGAAGCGCGGCGGCTGTTCCGGTGTGGTAGCGCGTAAAGGAAGCGCGGCCTGGCCGGAGGGTGACGTCGGGCGCTGCCGAACGCTGAGTGCTGCGCTGCCATGTCCGTGGTTCCGCCCAACCGCTCGCAGACCGGCTGGCCCCGAGGGGTGAACCAGTTCGGGAACAAGTACATCCAGCAGACGAAGCCGCTCACGCTGGAGAGGACCATCAACCTGTGAGTGCCGCTCGGACCTCTCCGTCTCGCTCCGCTCCTGTGCGAGGGCCGCTCGGAGGGCCCTGGTTTCTCTGGGTGCCGAGGGGGACGCGATGCGGCGCGGCGCCTGTGGCCGATGCGGGAGCGGGCAGCGACCGGGGAGTTTGGAGAGATTGGTGACATTAACGGGCCTGGCCCAGGCAGTGCGGGCTCCCAGCGCCGTAGCCCGCAGCGTTGCGGAGCGGGGAATTCGAGCACCAACCGCCGCGTGGCTCGGCCCGGTGGGATTTGGGCTGTCCCCGTGTAGACGGTGCGACGGGGCTGGGCGCGGCCAGTGCCTGCGGCTGGCGTTTGACTTAAATTCAGAGCTGTGCCTACCAAATAAAACTGACCTAGAGACTGGCTATTTGCTAAGAAACAACTACATGATACGAGAAGCCACACACTTTTTCTTCCTCTGTAAGTTCTGACAGAAGTACTTCACAAAGAACACATCTGTCTAGTTGCAGAATATGTAAATGTTAACTGTAACAGTCCGCATTTGATATTAGCTATTAATTGCAGACTTGTGTGTTTATATATGTACAGTTTGTACAGCTGGCTTTGTTCACAGAGTGAACATATTTGTGTCATATTTCTGACATCCATATTTAAACTTCTTGAAGTTTAAATATGGGTGTCAGAGACTAGTATGTGTTTCTAGTGTTTCTGAAGAAAAAACTTGTCAAGAAGTTGTGTTACCACTGTCATTTTTTTTTTAAGTATAAGCTAAGGGTTTTGCTATACTGGCTAATGTACCTAATTTGGTGTAGCATGGGTTAGTGTAGTAGATTTTGTGTTAATAAAGCTGTTTGTCTATTTGGATATAAATGGAAAAAAGGAATGTAGATGGTTCTAAGCGATAAGTGAACGTGGAGGAGCTTGCTAATGAGTGAATCTGTGGTTAGGAAACTAGTGTGTGTGAGAGGGCTCTAACAGCTGCATCTGGCTTGTGATTTTGCCTCTAAAAGCAGGAGGGAAATTTTGGGGGGGGGGGGGAAGTATACGCTATTTGAGTTTAACGTGATTAAATATTGGAGAAAGAATATTACAACTTGTATTTCAAGGAAAACATTCCCCATGGAATCAGTCACTTACTCTGTTAATTCAATTGCTGTATGCCACAAGTTGATAAAACCATGGTGATAACTTCTTACTGCTTTGCTCAGAATCCATTTTCCTCTCCCTTTCTGATTTAGCTGGATGATCCTGTCTTCCCTCCAGGCCTCATGCCACCAGACCTGTGTTACTTGGATTTTTGTTGTACAGTAACATTCTCCTGTTGCCCTCTTTTCTCTCTAGGACTGGCTGATCTCTTGCCTGACCTTTCCTTTGTTTACTGGCTCTTTTCAGTCCCTCTTCCCAAGTTTCCATCGTACAGTCAGCAGAGAAGGCAGAGGCCCAGCACCTAGCAAGTGATCTGCTCAGACTCTTGATCTTATCCCCAGCCTGCGCATAGGCATTCAGCATTTGTCCTCTTTTGTGATCCAAATCCCCAATTTTTCACTTCAAACCAAACCCAGTTCTAACAGTTTAGTCCTCAGGCTCTTCATTACTTCTGCAGAAAAAGAACCTTGCTGTCCTGTGCAGCTTGATTTCTTCCCAGCAGAGCTTTTCTCTCATGTTCCTTTCCCAGCTCCTGTCACAGCCTCAGCTGCCTTTGTGGTGTGAAGATCAAAGAGGATGGCTTGTATGGCATGATACACTTGTATGTGTCGTGGTGCAGATTTTCCCATGGTAGCGGCCCCATAAATCACAAACAAGAACTTCTCACCTAGCACTGTTTGTTCCATGAAGCACAGAGGGTTATGCCTCAAGGGAGATGCTGTGTCACAATGATTTAAATGCGGATTTTTTGTTATGCAAGTACTTTTATTTTTCCCCTTGCAGGTATCCGTTGACAAATTACACATTTGGTACAAAGGAACCCCTGTATGAGAAGGACAGCTCTGTTGCAGCTCGGTTTCAGCGCATGAGGGAAGAGTTTGACAAGATTGGCATGAGGCGGACAGTGGAAGGGGTTCTGATTGTCCATGAGCACAGGCTGCCCCATGTGCTGTTGCTGCAGCTGGGGACAACTTTTTTCAAGTTGTAAGTGTTTCTTGAACATAACTTCATGGTTTTAACTTCATGGACCACTAAATATGTGGGCTAGAGGTTAAAGTGTGTCTGGCTGATGGATGTTTTAAATGTGATTCACTTCTTGAAAACACATTCTGGAAAGAATCTTTTTTAATAATGGGGGTTTCATTTAAAGTGTATTTGTCTGACTCTGCTCATGAGTGGGGTGACTTCATTTGGAACCAACTGGAAATCTTAGTTATGGTGTGTCACTATGGCAAAATCCTGTTTAAAACTTGTGATCAGTAGTGTGTTGTGCTGATATTGTGAAAGCTGTTATGCTTAAATATACTTATGCTGTGGTTGCAAAAATGGTAGTCTAAGGCTGAAGGAATAAACCCCAGTAAGCACAGAATGATACCCGTTTACAAACTACAGGGGGAGCTGGGGACAGCAAGAAAGGTTGGTGTCTAAATGTGAGAAAATGGCTTCAGTTCATCTAAGTTATTGCTGCCAGAGTGAAATGTCAGTGTTTAGGTCATATAGTCATAGTGGTGGTGCCAGTTTTCTTTTTAAACTGGATGGGTTTGACTTGTCTCAAGTTTTCCTGTTTGTTCTCTTGCTTTGATGTTTTAACATTTGTGTTGTTTGTTCTCAATTTTGTGTGTGTGACATCTCATTTTATATCTGAATTCTTTCCTGACTTCTTGATTTGGAGGATGTTTGTGGATAAAATAGGCTAGACTATAAAAGTTTTGCAAAATTGTAATGATGAAAATATGTTTTTAGGATTTTGGTTTTGTTTGGGGTTTGTTTTTGTTTTTGTTTTTTTTTTTTTTCATTAACCTTGCATCAAATTCTGGGTGGTTCCCCATGGGAGTTTTATTTTCCACTTCCTATGTGTGTCAGGGAGTGCTGTTTCTGAGATAAGAACAAATACAGTTGGTATTTACAACTCATGCTTCAACTTCTGGTGCTTATATATTACTGTTAAATCTTTGCCTTTAAGTGTCACAGTTGTCATATATACTGTTACTTTGTCTTGCTGAAGAAGTTAAAGCATTTTATGTGATAGTTATTTTTTTAGGGGCCATACAGTAGCCACTTGAATCACGGTTCTGGTGAAAGCTATCCTGCAATTCAGCAAAGCTAGATTTGGAATTCCTGACTTAAGGGCCATGAATTTGTAACTTCCTGCCTGGAAGCACATCCAGTGTTACCTATGAAGTTGGTAAATGCAATAAAACATAACTGTAGCTTTCATCACTGTTTATTTTGACAGACCTGGTGGTGAACTCAATCCAGGAGAAGATGAAGTAGAAGGGCTCAAACGCTTAATGACAGAGGTCTGTTTCTTTCATTATCTTGCTATTCCAGAATGTTGAATTGTCTTAGAGTACAAAGCATTAGAACAGTCTCCTTATCACTTCTGTTACTTTGCTGCTTTTGTGATGTTTGCAGGTAGTTAAGAAATAAAGCAATAAGCTTGCATTTATCTCCATACTGAGTGTGATGGAGTGGTTTGGTGGCTGACTCTCCACCTCTTGCTCAAGTCCGGTGTTTGTTTGCAGTTTTGCTTTTTGGCTGGCTTCAGGCAAGTGAAATGGGCAGTAAAATATGTTGTGGAGCACAAATGCTGAGGACTTGTTTTTGAGATAGCTCTCCCCATCATCAGTTAACTTCCTGTGCGCTCAGAGTAGCCTAAGTCTGCCATTCATGCATTTCATTCTTCCCATTGGCCTCACAGGACTCTCTTCAGCCAAATCATAAAATGGTTTGGGTTGGAAAGGACCTTAAGATCATCCAGTTCCAACCCACTGCCACAGGCAGGGACATCTTCCAGTAGACCAGGCTGCTCCAAGGCCCGTTCAAGCTGGCCTTGAACACTGCCAGAGATGGGGCAGCCACAGCTTCTCTGGGCAACCTGTGCCAGGGCCTCACCACCCTCACAGGGAAGAACTTCTGCCTGAGATCTAACCTGAACTTCCCCTGTTTAAGTTTAAACCCATCATCCCTTGTCCTTTTGCTAAAGTCCCTGATGAAGAGTCCTTCCCCAGCATCCTTGTAGGCCCCCTTCACATACTGGAAGGCTGCTATGAGGTCTCCACACAGCTTCTCATCTCCAGGCTGAACAGCCCCAACTTTCTCATCCTGTCTTTATACGGGAGGTGCTCCAGCCCCTGATCGTCCTTGTGGCCTCCTCTGGGCTTGCTCCAACAGCTCCATGTCCTTCTTATGTTGAGGACATTAGAACTGTACACAGTGCTCAAAATGGGCTCTCATGAGGGCAGAGTAGAGGGGCAGGATCATCTCCTTCCTCCCAGCATCTGGTCATGCTGCTGAGGATACAGCCCAGGACACCGCTGGTGAATGGAATTTGTAATGCTCTCTGAATTGTCATTGTTGGATGAGGCTTTTGTTAAAAAAAAGGTCACTTTATACAAAAGTAGTCTAAAATTATTTGAAAAGCTGTTCAGAGCAGTTCTGAACTACATCAGATCCTTATTCCAGCAAGTCTTCATGCTTCCAGTATGTTTCTTCAAAAAAAATCCCCTGACTTGGGGTGGTTAAGTTTTGACTGTAACTGGATTTTTGGTAGATACTGGGTCGTCAGGATGGTGTTCAGCAAGACTGGGTGATTGATGACTGCATTGGTAACTGGTGGAGACCGAACTTTGAACCTCCACAGGTAAGTATTCATGTTGACTTTTATCTTCTTCAGCCTAGTATTGATTGTGCTTCCGAAAGCCTTCAACCTACTAGTTGGGCTTTTTGAGTACCTGTTGCATGAGCAATTATTTTGGTTTTTTACCTATATCATCTCCTTTCTGTGGCTGAAGAGAAACATTTTTATTTTTATTTTTCGTGGAAACTCCCGTCTCCCTCCTCAAACCTCCTGATGGATGTGAAACCACTGGATACAATAGCTTCCAGTCCTGTGCTGAGCCAGACATGCCATTTAAATTCCTGTTGTAGCCACAATGCTGCATATGGAACAGACACCCTATGAATAAATTAGTCACGCTGTGCTATTTCTGGATGCTTTGCTCAATTTGCTGTTACACGTTTGTCTTGCTGGTTGTTTTAACTGCTTGTGAGTAGTGGTGCCTCTTTAGATCCTGTCAACAGTTGCCACAGCAACAACATTTCCTTTCAATTACTTACCGTATGAGCATGGTTTTTGTTATTTGATGGCATGAAAGAACAATGTATGATATGATGAAAGCTTGCACAGTGCTTGGTAATTTATAAAGTAGCACTTAATATTGCACAATATTTTCAAAGCTCTGTACAAATAATTTTTGTTGGTTTTCTTCCAGTATCCCTATATCCCAGCTCATATTACAAAACCAAAAGAGCACAAAAAGCTTTTCTTGGTCCAGCTTCAAGAAAAGGGTAAGTGTTTACAGGAAAGGATTGTATTTTTAACAATATCTAAATGCTTGCATGTCACACAAGGAAATGCAGCGTCAAGTTTGTGGTTGTATATTGCAGTTGCTCATAGGTGATGGCTAAAATATATCAATGCTGGTATCAGTTTTGAACGTGGGTGATCCTTGGAAAATGAGTTCCTAGTAAATTCTCATGCCTGCTATAGGTACAGCATATGAACCCTGTATTTGATTAAAAAAGGAATAAACCTTCTGTAGGGCTATAGGTAGGGACCTTGTTTAGAGGTGGGGAGGGAAAGGGGTGGTGATCTCTTGGCTGAATGTGTGGTGGCTTCTCTCATTAATCAGTTTGTGTTTGCTTTTAGCCTTGTTTGCAGTCCCCAAAAATTACAAGCTGGTTGCCGCACCATTGTTTGAGCTCTATGACAATGCACCAGGATATGGACCCATTATTTCCAGCCTTCCTCAACTTTTGAGCAGGTATATTATAATTTGTATTTTTGGTTCTTGGGAACGCATTTGCTGTGGGACATCACAGAAACCAACTTGAAAAAGGTTGCAACTGTCCCAAATAGGTTAGAATGTACCTAAGATGAGGTGTAATGAACACCTTGCCTGATCACAACTTGCTCGCACCAGAGCCCTATCTAGCAGGCTGTAGCAAAGGAAAATGTGAAAGATGGTGAGTTTGAAGCTTTGTACAGGCTAAGGAGCAGCTGTTTATAAATGTTAGGGACAGCATGAGAGTAAAAGCAAAGATGTGTGTCTGAAGCCCTTAAGAGTGTGTGTTATCTCAGCTTGGTGATTGTTAAATGTGGTGGGATTTTCTAGATTCTGTAGTAAAGTTTATAAAACGTAGAATCTTTGTACAAGTATTTTTTCCTTCCTTTTCCCAAAGTACACACTCTCTGGCTTTCTTACCTGAACAAGGATTGCCCCTGTGGTCTCCAGAGCTCACTAGTCCTACCAGTTGCTGTTACTTCAGCAAATGTTCAGGAGCTCCAGGTGTCCCACAGCCTGCCAGCTGTTACTCAGGGAAGCAGTTCTGCTATCCACCTACTTGAATGAAAAAAAGCTGTTACCAGAATGGAGTTTTTCTGTATATAGCCCCTATTTTGGCATTTGTAGCTATGGGGGCTATTCTGCAGCCACGTATCAGTGTGATCCAAGGGGTGGGCATCTGGAAGCTGAGAGATGCTTTCAAGGTGGGAATGCTCATCACTGGGGAAGTTAGCTGAGAAGAATTAGCTCTGTTGAGTGTGTCCGTATGTCACCCTTGGAGTATAGAATGTTAGCCCTAGTAGCTGAAACACAGCAAAACAGTTGCTGATGATGGGGGAATGTAACTCTTAATGGTATTTTCATAGCTATGTAGCTCTCTTAAGAGACTGCTGTGCAATACTAATGTAGGATTGGCTGTTAAAAATGCTTCCTGCTCTACCATAAAGCTGTCTTATTAAAAAGTACACCTTTGTTCTGTCAGATGGAGGCTTACCAAGCGCAGAAAAGAAAGGTTTGCTTATTCATTCCAAAATGTCACTTGGTGAGGAAATTTCACATCCTTTTAATTAAACTTTTTGCATCCTTTTAATTTTAGGTTCAACTTTATTTACAACTGAGGTCCTGTGAGTCTGAGACAAGAAGCCGTCTCTGTGAGCACAGCTTTTAAATGTAGAGAAAAGAACACGTGTGACACTTCTTTTTTTTTTTTTTTACTTTTTTTTTTGTCGTTCTTTTCCTGAAGTCTACTAAACTTTCCCCAGTATGAATTGAGAAGTGACTCACAGCTGTTTAGGTAGTGGGATGACAATGTGTTATTGGTGTGTTCATCGCTTTTCATTGTAATACCTTTTTTTTTCTACAACATTAAACAAAATGGTTAATATTTTGTTTGCCTTCAGTTTGTGTTTTTTTTTGTGTTTTTTTTTTGTTTGTTTGTTTAGTTTTAGTTGTCTCCTGTGTACTTCTAGGTACATATTTTAGGCTTTACTTTCCTTCAGGAGTGCAGAAGATCATGGAAACAAGTGGAGGACCTAAACCATTCGGGGACCTTTGCATAGGCTGATCCACATTCCTGAGCAGGGAATTAGTCTGAGGGAGAAATTAAACAGTAAAAGTAGGTGCAATATAATTTAAGTTTTAACTTTGAAGACAGAATTGCTGTTTTGAAGGGAGTATGAGTATTTAAAGGCAGGTATAGCCTTTGCTCAAAGCCTGCCAGAACTGATCTGGAAACATTACAGCTTGTACAGGGCTTGGAGGAGATGAAACATATATCTTCTCCCACTGTGCCTCCTTAAGAAAGTAACAACCCAACAAATTTTGGATTGGCCTGAGATCCAGTTAAAATACTGGAAGTGAAATTAATTTTGCATATTTTTCTATAGTTACAAACAGAATTTGGCTGATGCCGAAATGTTTGGCTGATGCCACATGCAAGTGGCTCCACATGCTTAGCTGTCAGACCAGTGTGCTGTGCCATCCTGGAAGATATGCCCCAATCTCTGCTATTTTCCTTCAACATTGTACTTTCTTGGAGGTTGCAAATACCAACCTTTATAGTTTTGCTTATTTCCCATGCTTGGCTAAACATCAGTTCCAGTTGGATGTGTCACTTCCAAATGTCTTCAGCCTACCACAGTTTTGCTTAACTCTTTTGAAGACTTGTTCACAAATTCTGCCTTGGATCAGAAGATGCACTGTTGCTTGTGTGCTCTCCTCATTTGCAGAGGTATTGTTGGAGAGCGTGTGCTGTCAGAATTGAAACTTGCTGCAGGGCTCAGTTCTTTTGCCAGCTGTGCTGATAAGCTATGTACAGAACAAGTCCAAGAGCTTTGTGTTTCGATCAAATTGAAGCTGTAAAGTATAAGACTGACCTGGAAAAAAATACTGGAAGTAGTAGCAGTGGAACTGTTCACTTCAGTCTCGCGGAGGAACATCCAACCTAGATGTATGGTTAGCAGAATATAGGGTTTCTTATGCTGCTGCCACAGGGGGAAGATAAAGCTACCAGGGGAGTGTAGAACAACAGGTATTGCATAGGGAAGTGAGGAGGGGAAGGTGGAAGTTTGGAAGCTGAATACTATGACACCAAGCAGCACCACTTTCGAGGCCTGGCGTTTAACAGCCCCCATGTGCCATCTTCCCTTGCTGCACGGTTAGTTCCACACTACCCTTGCGGGAGTGCTGCAGGAGCAGCCTCCGCTCCCTGCCTCTCCCGTACCTCTCCAGGTTTCACGGGTATCGAGGGAGAGCTGTCCTCTTCCCCGCTCTACGCTCCCCGCCCCCGCTGCTCTGGCGGAGGCCGCCCCGGGGGCCTGAGCGGGCCAGAGGAAGCAGGGGTTGTCCCGGGAAGCACCGCCCTGCCCATGACTCAGCGCGCCGGGAGGCGTCTGTGACGGGGCGGCCGGGCTCGGGCACGTTCCCTCCCCTGGCCACGGGCAGGGGAGGGGCGGCGGCGGGGCGGGTATTAGGCCGCAGAAGCCTGGGCGGCGCGGTGGCTCGGAGCTAGAGTGGCCGGGTGGCGGCGAGAGGTTCGCGATGCCGCTGTTGTTCTTGGAGCGCTTCCCCTGGCCCAGCCTCCGCACCTACACGGCGCTCAGCACCCTGGCCCTGCTGGGCACTAGTCTCAGCGCTTACCGCGCCCTCAGCCAGGCCCCCGGCGTGGCCGCGGGCTCTAAGCCGGGCGAGCACCCTCGCCGCGGCGGGCAGCGGGCCCTGGACGTAGCCTACTACCTGCTGTCGGACAGCCTCTGCGTCTGGGTGAGCCCGGGGAGGGCGGGCGGCGGCGGGGCCTGCAGGCCCAGCCGGGCGGGCGCCGCGGCCTGCGGAGAGGCCTCTGCCGGCGCCTCACGGGCTCGTCACTGTTGGGAAGTTGCGCTCGGGGTGAGGGAGGCGGTTCCGCGGGACGCAGAGGGGGCGCCGGCGTACCGGCCGCTCGCTCGGGACGGGGGGATGCACCCCTGCGTACCCCGGGCCGCTGCCGCTTCCGTTTCTCCCTCACGTGGCTGGATGATGGGGCTGCGTTAGAGCCCGGCGTCCCACTCAGGTGCTCGTGTCCGCTCCCCGGCGTGGGCGGGTTTGGGGTGAAGCTCTCGGCGGTGGGTGCCCGGTGGGCGCTGCCCCAGGTACTTTGTGTCCCCTCAGCTGGATCTGTGAAGGAGACCACCGGGTGCTCGATTTGAAAGCAACGTTTAAAGCCATGCCGGTGAGAGGGAGCGTTCTCACCATCTAAGAAAAAAAAAAAGGAAATAATACTGTAGCTCTTTAAACCCAAACCTGACAATGGTATATGCTTCTTGGCTCACTAATTTCCATAGTTTAAATAAAAGCTCATCGAGGGGATATCAGAAACCCAGCAGAGTTGCTGCTGTTGAGTTTTGCCTCAGTCAAACGTGGTGGTAGTTGGGCATTTTTGCAACCTGCTTATTTGACTGAGGCACTGGGGTTTGAATATACCAAAAACATTCAGCCTATTGAAACTTCATCTTGGGACTTTAAATTAAGAGCTCTGGAAAAGTGTAATGTATGTCCTTTAGAAATGACTGGGTGAGGCTACTTCATCATCTTCCCCTCCCCCTTTCAGTATTCTGTGTAGGTCAAAAGTTAATTATGAGTGTTTTTGTCCGATGTGAGAAGCAGTTTTCCCAGGCCTTTGTATTCTGCTCCTTGCTCCTTTGCTTTAAAGCAGTTTCCCAAGCAGGGTTGAAGTACATTTGTTACAGGAGGGGTAATGCTTCTAATGCTTCCAGGCAACTTCTAAATCTTGTACCTCTTTCCTGTAGCATCAGATTCACACTGGAGTTTTCTTATCTGCCATGTGTTAAACAAAATGAGCATCTCGGGGATCTGTGAGTTTTGTCCCCGTGTTCCTCGGTGCCCAAATATGCTAATCTTTACAAAACAATTTATTGTGAAGAGGTAAGCTAGTTTTTTGGCTATACCAGTGTCTCAAACTGACCATGTTAGTATTTCTAGAAAAAAAGTTAAGTGACTTATCAGCTACTCTGTGTGTCTTGGAATTGGCCAGGCTTAAATTTCACCCCCTCAAAAAACAGACAACCAATACTGTTTTGTGAACAATGGCAGGTTTTGTTAAACTTGTTCATTCCCCTTCTCTCCCTCTCTTCCTAACTAGGAGGGCAGTATTTGTTGCTGACTGCTTGCTTTCTTTCCAGGTACTAGTGAACACTGCCTGCTGTTTTCTGATGCTGGTGGCTAAGTTTATCCAGTGTATGGTGTTCGGTCCTCTCCGTGTCAGCGAGAGGCAGGTAAGACAGCAATGTGTTGTCTTGGATGTGGTGTTTTCATGATTTCTGGGTGTGTGACTGGTGTCTGCACGTTTCTGTATGTAATTGCTGCAAGTACATAAGAAGAGGAAATTTTAGGCCTACATAAAGTTAAATCTCACCATGTGGTTAGCTAGCATAACCATAGGCACAAGTTTCCAGTTGATTTGTGAAGGGAACTTTTTCACTGCTCCTATTGTATAAGCCCACGATCAACTTGAAAATCCTGCTTCCTTAATGAACTTTGTCAGACTTCTTGCAAGTGCAGTATTTCAGAATACTTATAGCATGGGTTTTGCCCTATTTGGTTTGTAGTTGGCAGCATTTCTCCACTGTGCTTTGTAGCTATTTATCAGCACTGGCATTTCGAGTTCCCTCTTGTACTTTTTTTTTTGTGCTGTGATGCTGGAAAAGTGCTTTATGTTCTCATATGCCAAGTGGATGGTTTATGTGCCCTCATGTTTAAGAGAGAGTAGGGAGGCATATGCCCAGAGAAAGGAGTTAAGCAGGGCTGAAAACTCAGGTGGTTTAATCTTGTCTTGGGCCAGGTGAGAATATTTTTAAAAATTCAGCATTAAACTGCAAGTTTTTTAAAAATAGAATCCTGTGAAAGATGGCAGTAGCAGCAGTTTGAATAGGATCTGTGTATTTTTTTAAAAGTCAAAGGCAGAAGATGCTCTCTGTAAATGCAGCAGTGGTGGTTTGAAGTGTGTTCATGTATTTTCATTCAAAAAAAAAAAGTGTGTAAATGCAGTTCTTCAGGAGAAATCAAGCTATGATGATTTTTGACATGCAGAACTGAGGCACATAAAGTTTCACTAATAACCATGGGTCTCTCAAGGCCTGTTGTTATTTGTTATTCACAGATAGAGCCTCTGAGTGAAGTCTATTAAAAACAAGGCGCTATAAAACTCCATTTTGGTTTACAGTTTTTATGTTTTATGCATAAACACAGATTACTTTTCCAGACTCTGTTGACCACAAGGATGTGGAATTTTAAACAGTGATGGTTTCAAGGATGTTCTTTATCCTCCTAAAAAGTGAAGAGAAAAACAGGAACAGTGTGGATCCATTTGTGTTTGGGCAGTGGGAGTATGATTCTGTTCCGTGTAAAGGAAAGCTGGTTATTAATACTGGCGAGTCAAAACCAGACGCATCTTGAAGGAATTCTGAGCCTGTCTTAACTAAACTCCTGGTGATTTCATCATGGTCTTTAACAAAGCATTATATTTCATGAGTGTTTTTATCCCCAGCTAACTGGCTTGTTATCTGCTGCTTGAAACTATCGTATTGTTTCTTTCATATTACATGTCTGTGGGAATAGGTTCTTTTTCATTGCTCATTTGTCTCATTCTCCACTGCAGGCATTGTGCTTTTTAAGAACAGACTTTGTCATCTTCTGTTAATCATCTGTGCTTTTGACAGGTTCTTAGAAGCAAGGTGCTAGGCTATTTGGGCATTTTGTATAACTAACCATGGCAGCTCTCCTAGCAGAGTACTTTGTGTTCACAGCCTGGTAGCTGTGTTGCTTGGGAGTGAAGAATCATAGAATTATAGGATGGTTTGAGTTGGAAAGCACCTTAAGATCATCTAGTTCCAGCCCCCTGCCATGGGCAGGAGTGCCTCACACTAGACCATGCCGCCCAAGGCTCTGTCCAGCCTGGCTTTGAGCACTGCCAGGGATTCTTTGGGCACCCTGGTCCAGTGCCTCATCACCCTCACAGGGAAAAACTTCTTCCTTTAACTGAAATCAAACTTGGTTTGTCCTGGCACCTTAGGCTTAGCATCGGGTTGTGGGCATTCACACTTAAGAGACCTGTTTTCTTGGTCACTGAAGAGTGCTATCCAATGAGGCTTTACACAGATGGAATCTTAGGTGGGTAGGTAAGTGAGGATATCCATGTTGGTGGCACTGTTCCTGAGAGTACCATGTGTAGGACATGCCCAGCTCCTGGTTTGTCATAGTGCATTAGGCTTAGAATCAGGGTCTGGATGTTTGCACTTGGGGAGCTGGTTTCTGGGGTGCCTGAGAGATTTACCACTTCCTTGGGTAGCCTGTTCTAGTGCCTCACTACCCTCACAGGGAAGAACTTCCTTATATCTAACTGAGATCAAACTTGGTTTGTGCTAAGCTAAGGGTCACAAATGCTATTCAAGATGTGTGTGCAGCAGGCTTTTGATAACATATTCTTATATTCTGCTTTTATCTTTTTTCCTATACAGTATGTCCACCCATAGGTGAAGCTTCAGATTTGGCTATAAGAGGGTCGTGCTTTAATACCCTTAGAAAACTAACCAGCTTTATGCCAGATCTGTAATTGTTTACTCATGAGGCTGTGCAGTCTCTCATGATCTCACTGTTCTCCACACCGAGAACGTTGGCCAGTCGCCCCAGCGCGGCCAAATATGAAGGTCATAGAACAGCTGCACACCTATGTTTTCCTGCCTCCTTTGGACAAACAGTCACGATGAACATAACCCTATATACTCTACTGAATACACTGACGAAAAGCATACTTTCTATCTCTCAGTCATGAGAGGGAATACAATCTCAGCTAGGTTTCTGTCATTACAATCATAGAATCAGCTAGGTTAGAAAAGACCTTTAAGATCATCAAGTCATAGAATCATAGAATAGTTAGGGTTGGAAAGGACCTTAAGATCATCTAGTTCCACCCCCCCTGCTGTGGGCAGGGACACCTTATGCTAAATCATATCACCCAAGGCCTCGTCCAACCTGGTCTTGAACACTGCCAGGGATGGAGCATTCACAGTCTCCCTGGGCAACCCATTCCAGTGCCTCACCACCCTAACAGGAAAGAATTTCCTCCTTATATCCAATCTAAACTTCCCCTGTTTAATTTTTAACCCGTTACCCCTTGTCCTATCACTACAGTCTCTAATGAAGAGTCCCTCTCCAGCATCCCTATAGGCCCCCTTCAGATACCTTTACCCAGGACTGACTAGTCCACCACTAAACCATGTCACCAACTGTCTCATCTACATGTTTTTTGAACACCTCCAGGGACGGTGATTCCACCACTTCCTTGGAAAACCTGTTCCAGTACTTGATCACCCTCTGTGTGAACAAATTTCTCCTAATACCTAGTCTAAACCTCCCCTGGTGCAGCATGTGCGTTGTCAGTACTTTCGCTACAGTAACCAAATGTCTTTCCTTTACAGCATCTCAAGGATAAATTCTGGAATTTCATTTTCTACAAGTTCATCTTCATTTTTGGTGTGCTGAATGTTCAGACAGTGGAAGAAGTAGTGATGTGGTGCCTTTGGTTCTCTGGGCTCGTGTTTCTTCATCTTATGGTTCAGCTCTGCAAGGATCGCTTTGAATATGTGAGTTTTGATCGCAGGATGTTTTCTGGGACATGCAAATTTAGTTTCTGGTTTGAGCACTGCTTCCTGATCAGTTACAAACAGATCATTTAGACCTTTTCCCCACCCTGCGGCTCTGAACACGTGCTCCTCCCAGTAGCTTTAAAGTGCACATCAAGTGTTTCAGTTTTCCTGTGAGACAAAGGAGCTGAAGATACTTACTTCCTTTGATAAATTGCAACTTCTGTGTGCCCTGTAATTACTATTGCATAACTCTGTGAGATAGTTCTCCCTAGTGAAGGAATCTTGACAGCAGAACATCCCTTAGGTTGGTGCCTTCTAGGATTGGACCATGAAGCCTGTTTCTGTGCATTCTGTGCTCAGGTTTCAAGTTCATTTACATCTACCAAATGTTGTCTTCATACAGTGCAGCTTTCTGCATAAGCTACAACCCAGTTTCTGTTAATACCAAGTATAAATTCAGTAGAGATGCAGAAAGTGAAGACTAGGCAAGGAAGAAGGAATTGGAATCTTAACAGTAACATCTTTAAACTTACATAATGGACATGCAGTTTCCTCATTCTCTGTCATGCAAGAGAAGTTTGAACTAAATTGAATCCGTGAAAATGCTTTGCATTTAACTTTTTTCTTAATTACTATCCTGTAACGCTGTTCTTCACAAGAAGCTAAGCGCTAAGCTTGAAACTAGATTGGCTGGGGTTAGGAAAATGGAGTCAGAAGCAAACAAAGCAGTCATCTGGTATTGTTCAGAAAGCTGTGAAAGAATAAAGCTCGTGGAAGAAAATCCTTATTACATTCCTTCTGCATTCAAAGCTTGTATTGTAATTCTTTACTTGAACAAACAGTACTTGTGTGATCTGCCTTGAGGACTCAGGGGGATGTGAAGCTGAACCAGATATAAGGGAGGAAGATAAGCAATTTAAAAACAAAACATGTGAATCAACTTTATCAGTCAGACCAGAGGGAAGTTTTGGGCAACTGCTTCTTTCCTTGTCCTGTTCTTACCTTTTGTGCCCTGAAAATAAAGGACTGGACTACCTAAATAATTTGCCTCTTGAGTTGTCTTTGATTTCGACAACCTAGGTGTAGCCTACTGCTAAGGTAGTTTAGAGAATTAATACACTATGCATGCTATTGAATGAGACAACTATTTTCAGCAGATTCTATCCAGGAGATGTCTCCTTCTTCCAGAAGAAGATAGCTTTGGAAGAACTAGAGGCAATATATTAAGGTTGGGTGTCTTTATAAAATGCATGTTTATCCTAAGCAGATGGTGTAGATTTGATGCAGAAACTGTGTGAGAAAAGTGTCTATGGTTTTCTTGCACAGGTGATTTAGACATTGCATCAGATAATTGTAATGATCCCTTCTGGCTTTAAAAGCCTGGTGACTGTAAATGACAGAGAAATGAATGAGACTTTGGGATGGTGTCTGGTTTTAGCTTTATCCTGCGTCATCTATTACTACATTGTGTGGTTGAGGTCGTGAAATTGGTTTTATTCTAGAAAGCAAAATATTTTCCTGGATGAGGACTTGTTTGATGAGGTGACTATGGAAGGCAGAGTGGATGTAGTACTTTAAACCTGTTCTGTGTTTATGTATTTGTGTTGCAGCTTTCCTTTTCTCCTACCACACCTATGAGCAGCCACATCAGAGTCCTGACCCTGCTCATAGCCATGCTCCTGTCCTGCTGTGGATTAGCCCTCATCTGTGGTGTTATTGGCTACTCTCATGGCATGCACACATTGGCTTTCATGGCAGCAGAGGTGAGACTTCCTTCCCATGTGTTGTGGTTTCTGCTTTGCTTTTTACCCCTTACGCGAGAGTATCTTGGCATGCAGTGGGTTTTCTTTTACTTTCTTACAAGGAAGAAACTCTGAAGATGCCCTTTCATGTTTTGGAGTGGTTACCAAGTCTGCTTTCTCTCTTTAGAGTTTAGTTTTTAGAGAAAGCGGCTATGCTTTCTCTCTTTAGAGTTTAAGCCTTCAGAAAATCTTTGTCTGAAGGAGAGAATGAGAGTATAAATCTGTAGGATGATGCTGAAACCAAATATGAAAAATGTAAAGGTTGTGCTTCAGGAAAGTTGCAAGAAGGTTAGTTGAAATGGCTGCTAGGGAGGGAGAGAGTGTGTATAAAAGTGTAATATGGAAATGTGCATCTCAGCCTGTTCCTTTGAGGTTGTATTTCCTATTTAATTTCTACCCCAAAAGAATGAGATAATGTTTGTGCCAAGAGTAGTGTCTCACCTGTGATGAGCAGCATGTGTTCGTGCACTCCTGAACCTTTGGCTTCAGGGAGTAAGCAGTATGTCTTTTGGAGTGAATATCAGTATGTTTCTAATGTCATGGTGGGTTATTGCTCTCTGCCTGAGAAAGTGATAATCTTCAGCAGCGCGGAGGTGTTGTGGTTTAAGCCCAGCTGGTAACTCAGAACCACACAGCTGCTCGCTCAGCCCCCTGCTCCCTTCTTCCTCCACCTGCTCCCGGAGGGATGGGGAGGAGAACTGAAAGGATGTAACTCTCGTGGGTTGAGATAGGAACAGTCCAGTAACTAAGGTGTAACAGAAACCACTACTGCTGCCACCAATAATAATAATGATAAGGGAAATAACAAGGGAAGAGGATACAACTGCTCACCACCTGCCAGCCACTCACCAGCCCGACCCAAGCAGCGTTCTTGCCCTTCCGGGTAACTGCCCCCAGTTTATATGCTGGGCATGACGTGCTGTGGTATGGAATCCCTCTTTGGTTAGTTTGGGTCAGGTGTCCTGTCTCTGCTTCCCCTCCTCCCTGGCAGAGCATGAGACTCAGAAAGACCTTGGTCAGAGTAAACATTACTGAGCAACAACTAAAAACATCGGTGTTATCAGCACTGTTCCCAGGCTGAAAGTCAAAAACACAGCACTGCACCAGCTACTAAGAAGGAGAAAATGACTGCTACTGCTGAACCCAGGATGGTATCCACCCCTTGTTCCATACCATTCACGTCATGCTAAGATCCCTTATTTTTCAATATATCACTCTTGTCTGATACGTGTGTGTATATATATATATATATATATATATACACACATATATAACCTGTATAAATGGCAAGTCAGTTGTGTTAGCACATCTTGGTACAGATAACAAGTAGCATGTGTGGTTTGGTTTTCATATCCTGTCTTGAAATCATACTTGGAGTTAGTCAGCTGATAGTGGGATAATATGATGCTGGTCACACCACAGTTCAGTTATTTCATATGTCAGCTTACTTTTTGCGAAGTAAAGAGAATATGCAAGGCCAGATTTGTAACTACACAGTGGAAGGGTATTGAAGATTTGTGTCTCTAATAGGTAGGGTCTTGGTGGTGGTGTATCTCTTATCTTGGTGTGGCAGAAAGATGCATTGGCTGTGTGTTAGCATCGTGTAAGTTTATCAGGGAGTGTTGCAGCAGCCAAGGGTTGCCTCGTTGGTGCTGTGGTGGTGTGTGTGTTTTGGGTTGCAGGATGTGGACTAACTTCATTTCAGTGATACCTGTTCTGTCTGCTCATGAACAGCATAAGTGTGTGTTGCTCAACTAAGCCATGGATCTAAGCCATGGATCCACACATCCTGCTGTGCTGCTGGTGACCAGCAGAGGAGATTTGTGGGGAGGGGGTAGGAAGGGGTCTCCCACCCTTGTTTGCAACTGTTGGCGTTTGAGGATGCTCCTGACCTGAGGGTTGTGCAAGCCTTTTGGGTCTGATAGCCTCAGGTGGACTGTGGAAACTTGACTGATTGTTTATTGAACTCATTTATACTTTGGCCTCCGCAATATCCAAAGCCAACATTTAACTCAGCTTTGTGTACACAAAAGAGCTCTTCTAGTTGTCCTGAATCTTCTGTCTGATAATGTCCTTGGCTGTAATCTCATACATTTATGGTGAAAAACTGCAAAGAATCATTCTCTGTTTACTTTTCTTCATACCATTTGTGATTTTATAGACCTTCCTCCTGTTCCTCTTCTGACTTTCCTTCCAAGCTAAAAAACTCTATTCTGTTCAACCTTTCCTCATTTTATCTTGCCCTTTCATTAACATTTTAGATATGCCTCATCTGGATTGGGCAGCTGTGAGTAGTTTATTTGATTTTAATACCCAGCAGTGATGTGAGTGGAATAAAACATTTAAGCTTCTCTCTCTAGAGGTACTAGTGGCGACACCTCACAGCAGTCCTCAACCTCTCGGCAGAAAGAGTTAAATCTTTCAAACTAAAATATTTTCCTGGTGGTGGCTTGCGTGATGCTGTTCAAGAGGGGCCCTGACAAGTGTATTCCATTAGTGTGTATTTAATTATATTGTTACATTAAGCTATTCATCTCCTAACTCTGCAGACATTGATTTAGTTTGATGCTTAAGGGTTTTCAATAAAGCAGTATAGGTGTTTTTCTCGTGATTTAGTTAGGCTTCATTTGTTCTGGATTGTTTGTCAGTATTTTATTTTCTGCAAAGGATAGACATGAAATGTCCAAATGCCGGGGGTGGGGTGGGGGTGGGGGGTGTTGAATAGGGACAGTCTTTCTGACTATACATTGAGCTTTTTTGTCTTGCTGTGTGGTATTTGAGAATTACAGTATAGCAAGTAATGTCCAGTCTGTCTATGTACCTTTTTTATTGTAAGAAGGAATTACTCCATTCCTGTAGTAGCCATCCTCTGATCCCGTTTCATACATCTCAGTTAAGGCCGCATGATGATAGTGATATTCAAGTCTTAGAATTGTACCTTGCATATATTTTCCTACAAGGCTTCTCATGCTGCATCCATTATCCCTGGATTTGAGTGCCTTCCAGTTGTGTGCTAATCTACGTGACTAGTATGTCTGCAGTATCATGGAATCCATGGGGAATAAGCGGTTTGTTTTGAGCAGAGCAAGAACTCTTGGGGTGTTGGTACTGAAAATGGCCTGCTGTATATTTAGAACCTCAGACTGTGGAGTTGCGTAACTTGAGAGGCAGTGTTCTACTTCCTGCCAAGCATTTCTCATGTCAGAACGCTGAAATGCGTTAACAGTGGAGGAACCAGAGACTAGGGCCTTGACGCAAGCTGCGCTAGCTTGTCCTTTTGATTTTGATGCTACTGCTGCCTCAGCACTAACCAGCGTAAATCATGTCTTGGAAATACTAACTTCTCAATAGTTGCAAAGACTAGACTCTTCAGATTTCTGCCTGATAGATGTCTTCCTCGTTGGAGGCCTTATGCCACGGGTCTGGTTTTGACACAGATTTATGTTCAGTGGCATATCCATCAAGCAGCTCAGGTAATCATTCTGTTTTACCACTTGCATGTTTAGAATTTAGGTGTATTTACTTGTCCTCTGTGGTCTGTCCAGTGTTTCCCTATAGCCAAAGACCTTGTTTGAATAAGGTGTAGTCCTGTACCCACATGCAGGAAAACAGGAGGCAGAATAGGGTCTCGTAATCTGCCTTGCAGGAGCGGCTAATGTGCTTATTTAACTTTTTTTTATAGAAGATGTTTGTAATGAGAACAGCACACCATGCTAGGTAACTTGCTGTTACCTTCTTGATGTGTTTTTTGTGTTACTTGAGTGATGTGAACATCTTATCCTGAAGCCCTGCTATGGATAAAAGATTGCACTAGTAAATAGTCATAGAAACACTTAACTTTAAAGGCAATTAGTAAACAGTTGGCAGGTATGTTGGATATTACTAGGGTTTAAATACATATAGAAGCATTTTATGCTTTTTACAAATGGAAAAAAAAGCAACATCCAAACCAACTGCTTTATTGCTATATTGGGTTTTGATAGTTCTTCCGTACTTGTTTTTAATACTTACACTGAAAGCATGCCATCAGACCAGTTTTGCAGAAATGGTTTCAGTTGCTCATTCTAAACCCCCTGCATCTTGGTGTCAGTTGACCCCTGCTAACTACAGGGCCGGCTTTGAAGGGAGTATGCAATGAGGGGATGGGGCACTGTGGGCCTGATGGGTTAGAGAGGTGATGGACCTGTGTTTCTTAGGTGATAAGAGCCTTGGAAATGTGGTTAGGTGTTCTGGAATCAGTTCTGATAGACTTTTTTCTCTGTACTTAGGCTAGAGAGGTAAGAACGATTAAAGGCAGAAGTTATTTTTGCAGCCTTCACATCTCAGCCAAGGGGGGAAATAATTTGAAAGTGCTTCTGTGGTTGTTCCTCAAATTCCTGCTACTGTTTGATTCTTCAAATTTTTCTTGAGCAGTGGTCAAGAGAGATTGTGGTCTCGACACTCATTGAGTGGTAAGAACTGAAAAAGATAATACATTCTATGTAGTGGGTAAAAAAAAAAAGAGACTTAACAGCAGTGATGCTAGTGCTCCAAGAGCATTGTGTGGCCCAGAACAATTTCTTGCATATTTATTTATAAGCTTCGTGTTTGTCATAGGTATACTGTGCACACAGTTGTCTGTGGTAACCATTGGAACTTGTTAAAATGCTGCAATAAATGCGTTTTAGCCCTTTAGCACCTGCCTCTGGACCGCTATCCCTGCTGGAATGTTAATATGTCTTTTATTTCCTTTTTCTCGTCTTTTGCAGTCTCTGCTTGTGACAGTTAGAACCACTCATGTGATTTTACGGTGAGTATCTCATGTTTTGCAGGATGGCTGTTGAAGAAGGTGGTGACTATCGCATGTTGATCTAAGAGGTGTATGTAATTACCTTGTTAAATTGCAAAAGCACATTTGGCAGTGGTCAAAGGTGGTTAACTTTAGCCTGTGCTATTTTTAAGCATAAATTCTGCAATGCATGGATAGCTTTAGTGGGTGCTAATAGCTCGAGGCATGGATTAAAATGGGTTGGTGCTACTGTATGAGAGTTAATACATGTTACTTAATGTCATCCTACTGGAATGTCCAACTACTACAACTGCTACAACTTCTGCTTTGGAAGAGTAGCATGCCTGTGTATCTGTAATGCACGTGTGTGTGCAGATGCAGGATGTGACATGTAGAGCAGAACCTCTTGGTCCGGGTCACTGCTGGCATTTTGGGTCTGTCATCAAACTGTAATGCTTCACCTGGGAAACACCTCATGTACTGAAAAGTGTGGGTCTGTAGTTACTAAAATCCCTTTTTTGGTACATGCAGAAATTTTTAGCAAATGCAACATCTTTGTCAGCTGGTGGTATCTGTAATGCAGTGTGGGCTGAGCATTGATTGATTGCTTTTTGTCTTTTTAAAATGTTGCTGTTTGAAACAGTAACATTAAAGAGAAGTCCCTAAGGAACATAAAAAGTGTGGGCGCTGAGCTCAGGAGGGGCAAAGAATCCATATCCAAAACCTGTTTTTAAAATGGAGAAAATGGTTTGAACGCTAGAGGTTTACAAAAAGACAGAATAATGTTAATTTTTCTGCTCTTACAGATACGTAATTCACCTCTGGGATCTCAGCCATGAAGGAATGTGGGAGGGCAAAGGCACTTATGTCTACTACACTGATTTTGTCATGGAGCTCACCTTGCTTTCACTGGACTTGATGCATCACATTCATATGCTGGTATGAAATAATGGATGTAAGGTTGAGCACGTAGACTGGCGTTAAAATAAAGGGTACTGGGTGAATGTATCTTATATATTTTTTTGCTTTTCTTATTTGATTTAAATAAAGAGGAAAATGTATGGGGGTGGTTTCTGACATTCTTTACTCTTGTGTAATTGGCGTACTCACAAATAACTTTGTTACGGAGTATTAACTACTGTGTAATAACCTGTTTAGTAGGTGTTTAATTAGCTTTGCTATTAAGTAATACCAGCCTGACTTATTTTCATTGGCAGCAGGGGACATAAAGTTGCACAGGATCAAATACAGTTTATTCTTATTATAAATGCTGTGCTGCTTAAGTTGTATCTGAAGATGGAGTGGTAATACCTGTGAACATAGGATCCTCACCTAGTTTGGGTTGGAAGAGACCTTAAAGCTCATCTGGTTTTGACCACTTGCCATGGGCAGGGACACCTTCTAGTAGACAAGGTTGCTCCAAGCCCTGTCCAACCTGGCTATGTGTGGTTAGTCTGGAAGTCTCGGTGAAAGAAAAATTCTTCAGTGCTGGTTTCGCAGTTTCTTTTCCTTGTAAGACCTGGTGCAGTTCCTTGTGATAGTTTCTGATCACCTTTCTGTTTTTTCCTGAAGCTGTTTGGTAATATTTGGTTGTCAATGGCGAGCCTCGTGATTTTCATGCAGCTACGCTACCTGTTTCATGAGGTTCAACGAAGAATACGGCGGCATAAGAACTACCTCCGTGTAGTGGGAAATATGGAAGCTAGGTGAGCCTTTTATTTGCCCTGGGATCTTGGAGAGAAGTCTGATGAAGAAGTTGGGATTCCTTTAGGTTCTTTTCATATGTGATGACAGTCTAAGCTGGAGAGATGCAATCTTGCAAATCCAGCACTTAAGTCTTTACACTTAGAGTGGGTTTTTACCCATTTTATTTGTTACTGGGGACACACTTTCTGGTTTTAACAGATATGTAGGATTGACTTTTATAATAGCAGTATTACTGATAAACTATTACTGGCAACATGTGAACTCCCCAGACCAGCTTTCCTCTCCTGCATTCTCTTGTCACTTCACCAGGATAGTATACATAAGCTCTACAGAACTCTGCTTGTTTTAGTTGTCAGATACTGGTTTTGGCTGTGATAGAAATGAATGCTTTTAATTTCATTAGGCCATACTATTCAGATATTGGAATCAAAATATTAATTACAGTCTGCTTTAGGCTTTAGGTATATATTTATTAAACCTGAAGCCAACTCTGAAAGACTCTGTACTTACAGGGGAGCTGAGAGCACTTTGAGATTACTTTAGTCCATATCCCTGTAGTGAGGCCATCTAGAGGAACTGGGAGGCCTGCTGAAACCTAGTATTGTGCCAGATACGACTGCATCTCTGATCCCATGTTTTCATAACTCAGCCATGACTTTAATGACTTCAAGAACAGCAGGGAATTTTGCTCTTTCTGTACATTGCTGTACCGTTTTCCTTGTGGACTTCAGTGGGTTTGACTAGCTCTGATGCCTTCTACTGTAGTCCAAATGGAGAAAGAAGTCTGACTTATCCAGAAATTCATACAGGGTGTTTTTTTTTTTGTGAGAAGTCATTTAATGGCTGTAGTATCAGGTTAAGAGCTGCATAATAAAGTTCATCCACCATGCTTCATCTCTTTTCAGTAAGATGCAGCTGCTAAACCCCTTTAAGCTGCTCACAAGCCTGTTTTGAGTTGCAGGTGCCTCAGACTTCCTGTCTGAGTGACTTGATATGTTTCTGTCATTCTGATTTTTCTGGAAAAACCACATTCTGACTTCCTCTTGAACCTGCCAACAGCAGCAAGCTCTCTGCCTTTCTGTAGTTGTTCTTCAGGTATATTCCACACCAGCAGTACTGTGAAATGTTGTTACACAGTTCATCTCTCTATTGTCTGTGTTTGGTTGCTACTTAGTAGCTGCTTGCGTGGTGCTGTGGTTTAAAAAGAAGATAAAGGATTAAAGGTAAATGGGGGTTGGCAAAATCTGAGACCAAAATTAGTCAGACCATAAATGCTTTTGATCCCAAGAAGACCTCTTAATGGGTACGGCTGTTAAAACTCATTTAGAAAAATGACATAAGCCAAATCTACACAGATTATAACTTGAGGTTCTCAACCTCGTCATATGTCTTGGAAGATACTAACTAAAAGCTTTTTGCACTTGGGATGTATGGGCTGTGCAGAAAAAAAAAAAAAAGTGTCTGAAAAGTTAGCATGGGGGATAAGGCTTTCTCAGTGTGGGATCCTCTAGACAGGAGGCCATCCTGAGCTGGTGTACTGATTACTTCTGTCTCTTCCTTTTCCTTCTTTGTAGGTTTGCAGTTGCAACACCGGAGGAGCTAGCAGCCAATAATGATGACTGTGCCATTTGCTGGGACTCCATGCAGTCCGCACGCAAACTCCCTTGTGGGCACTTCTTCCACAAGTATGTTTCTGGGGCTGAGAGGGTGCACCTGACTGTGGAAAGGGAGGGAGCTATGGGCATGTCTGAAAGTTACAGCAGGATGACAAGTAATGAACCATCAGCAGAGCTGTGCATGCTTGCTGTTTGGGTTATCTTGTTCGGCTTCTAATAACAAAGCACAAAGTCATGTTCACATCAGTTGTTTCCATGTTTGAGTTGTTTCACCTGGTGCATTCTTTCCCCCCCGCTTCCCCCCCTGAGGAAGAGTATGCATCTTGTCAACTAATGGGAGGTAGTGTTGAGTTATGGTATCTCAGTTACAAGTCTGTATCCTGCCTTACTGTGTAACTGCTTGGTAAAGCACATTTTTTTGCCCTTACTTTATCCTACTCATCAGCTATTCCATGAGGGTGTGTTGATTTTTGGGTGAGGAAGGAAGAGTGGAGTTAGATCCTCAAGTAACTTTCAGATACCAGCTTTAAAAAGAGAACAGGGAATATTTTTATATAATGTGGTGCTTGCATATTGAGGTCCCAAGGACAGTTGTGAAGGCCAGGTCAGATTAAATGATTTCATGGGGTGATGAGTCCATATAGGCTGTAAAAGAGGGTGACCAAATTAGCTGTAGAGGCCCCTAAGCAGCTGTTAGTTGGAACTGAAAGGCTTTTGGCCAAAGGATCTCTCTATATACTGTGTCTCACAATCAGCGGGTAGTGAATAGTAGCAGTTGCTTGTGGAGACAGTGTGCTGTGGTAGATGTTCTTTCCTTGGGTCTTCTGTAGCAGTGCTTACATTTTCATACTTGTGGTTAAACATGAAAGGAAATACAGGGATTGAATCAGGAATTCCTGAAGTTCCATGTGATTAACATGCATGGTCCATTAGATTGTCCCTGTTCCACTATGTAAGCAAGTTACTTTATGCAAATAGCCTCCTACTTTTCTGGTAACTGTCAAACTAGAGGTTGTAATCTGTGTGCTAATTTGTTGTCATTTGTGACAACCCTTGCCATAAATATTTATATGTGTTCCAGGAAGCCTCTAAGGAGATAATGTGCCTCTGTAGCAGACTTCTATTCCAGTGCTGCTGAATCATATGAATATCTCATCACCTACTGAGCACTTGAGAAGCCCAAGGTCTTCTCTTCAGAATTGTTTTTTCTGTATCTAAAAGGATTCTTCTGTATTTTTTTCTGAAGCTGAGTTACAGTTACATTGTTTGTGCATTTAGGGAGGGAACCTGTTCCAGTGGATGGCTTACGTGTGCATATAAAACCAGATGCAATTAACGATCTTTTTACAACCTAAGAATGGTTTATCTCATAAAAACCTGGTGATTTTGCAAACAGGCTTAATTACATGGCATGCTTTATCATGGCCAGTTATTTGGCATAGAAGAGAAGATGGTAGGGAAAATTCACATTGTTGTGATCTATTCTGTGCCTTAATTTTAAGGAATTTTAATGGGAGTAGGTGTCTGAATATCTTAGGCTGTGTTAAAACTCTTTCCTTTCTCTTTCAGGAAGCAGTCAATTTCAAAAGAGTTGTTGCTGTGAGGTGTTGCCATCCTTGGCCTGTTAGTTATCCTACTGAGAGGCTTCAGGCAACCAAGCCATTCTGCCTGTGTGGCACAAAATGGGCATAACCACGGCAGGCTTACTGCAAGCATTTAGGGCTTGGTGCTGATGCAGCCTGATAGGGGTCTGTGCCCCTTCCAGCCTCTTGATGGTTGAGCCGTTGAGCAGCACCAGCATGGTGGTAGCTTGTGTCACTCTGCATGTTTCACAGATGACCTTTTGAGTACAGCTCTGGCAGAGGTTTGACTTTGCTCTGTGCAAGGTGATTTTGCTGTGGTGATGGAGATGAAGTTGGACAGCATTGGCAGTGCTAACGTGCTGTCTGTGCTGATGACCAAGGTGGTAGATTTTTACTGTAGTGCTTTGGTTCTGGGAAACCCATTGTTGTAATTTCTGAACACTGCATATCCCTCCATGTAAATATCATAGAATCATAGAATAGTTAGGGTTGGAAAGGACCTTAAGATCATCTAGCTCCAACCCCCCTGTCGTGGAGAACACTTTGGCAGTGTGTTTATAGGCTACAGCTTCAGGAGCTGTGTGGACTGTTTGTGTCTTTGACTTTGCGATAGTCCTGCAATTAGGACTTTTTCCTTGTTCTATTAGCCTAAACCTGCAATCTGTGCCTTTATTTGCAAATACACGATTTGGGAAACAAATTTATTTGACCTTGTTGCATATCTTCAGGGCCAGGCTACAAGTGTATTTGACGTTTTTTCATATCTTCAAGGCTAGGCTGGATGTAGTTCTGGACAACCTCATCTAGTTCAAGATGTCCCTGCTCATTGCAGCAGGGTTGGAGTAGATAAGCTTTGAAGGTCCCTTCCAACCCAGAGCAGCCTGTGATTCTAAAAGACATCTGGAGAGGGACTTTTTTTATAAGAGTATGTAGTGACAGGAAAAGGGGGAATGGTTTTAAAGTGAAAGAGGGTAGTTTTAGATTAGACATTAGGCAGAAGTTCTTCCCTGTGAGGGTGCTGAGGCCCTGGCACAGGTTGCCCAGAGAAGCTGTGGCTGCCCCATCCCTGGCAGTGTTCAAGGCCAGGTTGGACGGGGCTTGGAGCAACCTGGTCTGGTGAAAGGTGTCCCTGCCCATGGCAGGGGTTGGAACTGGATGAGCCTTAAGGTCCCTTCCAACCCAAACCAGTCTGGGATTCTACACCTTTCTAAACTGTTTTGTGACCTTCTGCTGGAACAAAACCTACCCTGCGAGTGGGACATATGTGTTGTAATAAAGAGATCAGTTCCGTGAAATTCAGTACTTCCATACTAAAATTAGGTTTAACTTGCCAAGAGATACCACAATTTGGTCATATCAGTGTGAATCAAAAAGTAGGCACAGCTCTGGGTGTTTAAACCTGCACTTTCTGCAAGACAGCAAATGTTCAGAATTAAGTAAGCATTGTAATGGCACAGCACTCATTAGTATTAATAAATCTGAGAGTTCCCAAGGTGGTACTTACTTTGGTGGTGATTTGGGTATTGATAGTGTTGAGAAGACATTAGAAAAACTTTGGGGGTACCATTGACAGATCATACTGTGAGAACTGCTATGAAAATGTGTTAGTGTATATTAAATATTTGTCCACTTGGATTTTGTCCTTTTTCAGTTGGAGATGGTGAGAGAAAAGCTTTGTTTCCCTTTCCAGGCAAAACTTGCTTGTTCTGAGCTGAAGAGACAACAAACTCAGTGTGTTTTAAGTTTGTAATAAATCTGCATGCTTGCTTATAAAAAGTGAACACTTTGTGTTTTTCTGAAAGAAATGAGAAACCTAAGCCAGAGCCATCAGGGGCTCATCAGGTGTACCTCACAAATTATCTCTGGGCAGTCTGTACGCTGATGTTCTCTACAGAATCTGCTACAGCTGCTTGATGTACTTGTGATACTGTTGTCTTGGAAAAATGCTGGAAGCTCTTTGTATTATTACTGTTTTCCTATCAGCTCGTGCCTGCGGTCCTGGCTGGAACAAGATACATCTTGCCCCACCTGCAGAATGTCTCTTAATATCACTGACAGCCATCATGTGAGGGAGGATCACCAAAGGGAAAATATGAATGAGAACTTGGGCCCTGTGGCAGTAGCAGAAGGCAGACCACGCTTGAACCAGCACAATCACTTCTTCCACTTTGATGGTGAGCTAAGCAGATTTGACATGTGGTGCTGCAAATAAGTGAAGGGAGCAGCCTTCTTGTAGAAGGTCATTCTGTCCATGCTTTAGTTGAAACTCAAACCATGCTTCTGCTTGCATTTGTCAAATATGTATATGTTTCTTACAGTTCTTTTGCAAGAGCTCAGATATGTAAATCCGAGGTTGTCCAGAGCTACAAAGATTTGTTGAAAGATTTTGTACAAATGCTCCTTTTTTCTTGATCTATTGTGGTTAGCAGCTTTAATACTGGCATTTATTCATTGCCTGTCATGTTAATGAGCAGCATGGGAAATTCATGTGTCTTACTTTGTTACCAGGTGGCAGTTAATCAGTGGCAGTCAAAGAGGGAAAAAACCTCTGTGGTGCAGTCTTAAAGCTGATCTTTCCCGTATCTCCTAGCTAAATGGGAGGTTGTCAAAACTCCCATTTCCCACTCAATTTGCAAGAAACTTGTAATGCTTGGTTAGGTGCAGAAGCTTATTCTTAGAAGGAATCATGTAGCTAGAACAGGGTTTTTTTTCCAGTGATATAAGTGCTCCCAAAGCAAACCTCATGAAGTTCAGGGCCAAGAGCAAGGTCCTGTACCTGGGTTGGTGTAATTCCAAGCGCAAACACAGGCTGAGCAGAGACTGGATTGAGAGCAGACCTGAGGAGAAGGACTTTGAGGTACTGGCTGATGAGAAGCTCCCCATATGTGCACTTGCAGCCCAGAAACCCCCTGTGAGCAGCAAGTTGAGGGAGGAGATTCTCCCCCTCTATTGTGCTCTGGGAAGACCCCCCTCCTGTCCCTGCCCGTGGCATGGGGGTGGAACTGGATGAGCTTGAAAGTCCCTTCCAACCTAAGTCATTCAAGGATTCTATGATGCTGTGTTGCTGTGATGCTGCAAACTTACACGGTGACCCCTTCTTCAGCTGTGCTGGTTTTGCAGTTTTTGAAGATTGTGGGAGGACAATAACGGGCAGAGAAGGGACAGACACTTCTAGGTGTGCTGAGGCTGGCAGATAGCTTCTTGCATAGCTCCCACTTTTGGGGTGCTTTAGGTCTCCAAAGGACATTTAAATTTAAGCTACCACTGTTTTTTAATAGGTGTCCTCCTCAGTGCTCTTGGGTGACTTGGAGACCTCCAGAATTACTGTAGAGATAGAAGTGTCACAGAGCAAACTGTGTTTACTTAAATGGAAATGCAGAAGGAGGAGGGAGCTAGCCCCGTGCCCTGCTGTGTTGAGCCTAAGCAGACAATTGCGTCAGTCACTTTTTGTTCAGTTGCTGCATCCCTTTGTAGTGACATTTTCTCAGTGACACCAGCCATGTGTAGCAGACCCATTTTGGGACGAGATTCAGCCTGTTTAGAAGCTGTCCTTTTTTCAGTAAAATTGCTGGAGTTATTCATGTATTCCAGAACTGAATTTGGCTCTGGCTTGTTTGATTTTTCCCTTTAATGGAAACATTAAAACAAGAAAAGGATGTGTTGTTTCCTTGATCCTCTTCTGTCCCTGAGATCGGTAAGCCATTATGACATGTGTTTGAAGAGAGCATTGGCAGTTGGTGATTTACTCCAGTGAATCAGTAACTCAATGGCTGTCCATGTTTGGGAGACCTTAGGGATGGATTGCACTGCAGAACTTCCCTGATCTACCTTGTAGAAATATGAAGGCTTATGTCACGTACATGTAGAAATACTTTGCCTGCTTGATTCTTGCTTGACTTTCTGGTGATTTCTTCTTCTTAGGCTCTCGAATTGCCAGCTGGCTGCCCAGTTTTTCAGTAGAAGTGATGCACACAACCAACATCCTTGGTATCACACAAGCCAGCAACTCACAGCTCAATGCTATGGTAAGAATGCTTCAGTGGTTTGTACCTCAGCCTTCCTGTTTGTGCTGGGCAGGGAAGAGGTTCATGAAGAACAAAAGGGGAAAGAAGTCAAAACAGTGTTTAGATACTACATGAAAGCTGGGAGGTTTTGTGTGAGAGAAGCTTTATTTTAGTGAGGTTAGGGCTGTATTTTGTGTTAAATGTGCAAATATAAAAGAACAGGTCTGGAGGTAGGTAAATGAGGGAGAAAAACTACGTGCACTTTCTGACTAGATAGGTAGACTCTTTTTTCCTCAACTTGCCTAGTGCAACTTTAGCTTTTTTTTTCAGTATTTCACTCACAACTTGTAGTAGCAAAGGGTGTGAGTCTGTAACCACAGGATTTAGCTGTTAGTCAAGTGGTAACTAAGCAGACCTGTTCTATAGCTCTTGATTTTTTTTGTATTTATTTTTAATAGCACTAAGCTCCAAGATAGCTGTTTCTGTTTGAATGTCTTGTCAGTGTGAGATGGAGATCTCTCTAGCACAGCCAACTGTTGCTGATTCATGATGAAGACAGGAGTGTCAAGCATCAAATCCCATGTTTGTTTAATCCATACTCTAATGTAGTGCAAAAAGAAAAGGGTATCGCCTCATGAAATGCTTTTGGTTCGTTTAGTTTGAGAAGTGCTCTTTCCTTTGAGTTCTTAAAACTAATGTGTAGTATAGCCTGTTAATAAATGTTCAGTGAAGTATTTCAGTAAAGTAAATCTCTGGATGTGAGATATCTCCTGTAGCCTTTATCACTGTTGAAGCCTCAAGAGGAGGATAAGGCCACAATTTATAGGAGGTTTGAGGCAGGGAGCAGTCAGATGTTGGGAAATGATTTACTAGGTGAATATGCAGGAGCTCTCCATTTAAGGTCAGTTTAGTTTTCCTTTTAGTGGGCACAGTGACACAAATGTTTTTTTGTTAGAGATGAGTAATGATTTATTAGCATTGTGTATTATTAAAAGTACAGTAGAAACTTATATTAAAATGTCCTCTTTAATGGAAAGGCCCAGGTTAGTGAACTATTCAAATGTTACACATTTTTAACAATAAATAAGTGAAACTCTCCTTTGTGTTACTGAATAAAAACTAGGGAAGTATTTGGAGGGAAAAGCCAGAGGCTGAAATGCTGTATCAGTTGTTTTGATCAGAAGCTGGTACAATGGAGAGTTAGGTTTGCTGTGCTTGTGTTTGAACTCACTGTCAGCTGATGCATACTTTTTGCTTTGCTCTGAAAACTCCTTCCGCCCTCATTGTTTAAATTTCTCTCTTCCCCTTACTTTTACCTATTTAATTTGGGTATTATTTAAGTAACTTGAAATTCACTAATAACAGTTCCGTGACAACTCAGTTGAGTTTACTTGAGCTTTCAGATCCTGTTAAACTAGTTTGTAGGCAGAATAGGTTTTTAAAACATATTCCACTTATCCTTACCAGTACCATTTTGGAATCCATCTGGGACAAAGGAAAATACCACTTTTTTTTTTTTTTTGGTGTTGATCTGGTTTTTAGTCACTCTCATGAATTTTGTATAGACCTTTATGAAAAATTCTGTCAGAGGGTTAGGAAGCTTTTGAAACCATTTTGCATTTACAACACTGTTCAGAAATCTAAATTTTTAGGATCATGTGTCTCTATGGATTTGCAGTTTTGGTATTGGCATTGTTAGAGTTATTATTGACCTGTAAATCAGTGCCAGCATGGGTTTTCTTTCTCTTGTGTGGATTACCATATCATAAACAGCATCTTTGAGCTGTCTTTTTTTTTGGCTTTCTGTTGCGATACTTACCAGCTAACTTTTGTTTACTGCTGGTCCTGACTGTATAAACCTTGCTTTCTCCAGGCCCATCAGGTTCAGGAGATGTTCCCTCAGGTTCCTTACCATGTAATTCTACAGGATCTGCAGCTAACTCGTTCAGTAGAGATCACCACTGACAACATCCTAGAAGGGCGCATCCAGGTACCTTTCCCCACACAGGTAAGTTGTAAGATGTTGCACCTACAATAACTTCATTGCTTATCGCAGAACTAAACTTGTTAATAATGAGTGAGGGGAATGAGGTAAGATTCACCAGAAGCACTGGTGAATCCAGCTTAGCTTAAAGCGGTATTGCTATTCAGATTTTACCTTTAGGAAGATGTTGCAGTCAGAAGCACCAAACTAGTTTTGGAAGTCTAGTATATGTTCTGTTTCTGTTTGCAACATCTGACTCGGAATCTCAGTGGTATGTGACTGAGATGTACACATCTGTTCCTTGCATTGCTTGGTTTTCCTGGGTGTGCTCTCTTTTTTTTTAATATGACAATTTAATACGATTTATTATTGTTATTGTTATTATATTTTATTTAAATTATTCAACTGTTTTAGTTCAATTACTAAACTGTTCTCATCTCAACCCACAAGTTTTCTTACTTCTACCTTTCCAGTTCTGTCCCCTACAGGATACAATTCTGTATCCTACTGGGGGATAGTTAGTGAGTGGCTGTGTGGGGCCTAGTTGCTAGCTGGTGTTAAACCATGACAGTCCTTTTTGGTGCCTAACATGGGACTCAAAAGGGTTGAGATAATGACAGATGTGACCAGAGTGTGTTAAGACAAATGCGATAATTCTTTATATAAGTTTAATAGTCACTGGTCACAATGTTGATCTATTTGCTCTCAGAGTTGTTGTGCTCAGAGTTCCGTAGGTCCTTACTTGCTGTATTTGTTCCTTTTATGCTGTTTATTTCCTCTGGGGCTGGGTTAAGGCCATCATGTTGATGTACTAGGTAACACTGGCTTACAGCATGAAAAAATTACTAGTTGTGAGGCTAATCTGGTATTTGTACTCAGCATTGCCATCATCTCTGTACTTTGAGAGCCGTCTCTCAGAAACTATTAATGATTGCTTTGGAGAGCCGATCAATGAGGGAAAGAAGGGGAAACACTTTCTCTCGCTCCTTCACCTTCTCCTTCTCCTCCAGGCTGCTCCAACCCCTTCAACAGACATTGTAGTTCCTCCATCCCCCAGGCCTGGCAGTGCAGCTGAACCAGGGAACGAAACTATGCCAGTATCAGTTGTCCCTATACATGAGAAGAAATACTGGGAGCAAAAGTTAGCTCATCTGGTAGGGGAGGAAGTGGGTGGGACAGGCTCCTCTAAAGCAGAGCCATCACAAGAAGAAGAGGAGGAAGAGGAGGAGGAAACAGAAAAGGAAGAGGAGGAAGAGACAGAACTCATGAACGAGGCAGTAACCACCCAATCCCTGTACCTGAGTGAGTTGCGAAAAGATTTCAGACGTCATCCAGGTGAGCACATTCTCACCTGGCTGCTCCGATGCTGGGATAATGGAGCCAGTAGTGTGAAATTAGAGGGTAGGGAAGCCAGGCGGCTGGGATCCCTTTCTAGGAAAGGAGGCATTGACAAATCGATTGGAAGAGGAGCACAAGTCTTCAGCCTCTGGAGCCGACTTCTGTCAAGTGTGAAGGAACAGTATCCATTCAAGGAAGATGTATGTCACACAGTCAGGTGGACATCTGTGGAAAGAGGTATCCAGTACCTGAGGGAATTAGCTGTGCTGGAGGTGATTTATGACGACAATGAGAAGTTATCCAAAGATCCAGATGAAGTCAGGTGCACACGATACATGTGGCAGAAGTTTGTACAGAGCATACCATCATTGTATGCCGACTTGTTGGCAGTAATGATGTGGAAGGATGGAGAGGGACAAACAGTGGATGAATTGGCTGGCCAGCTCTGGCGTTATGAAGCAGGTCTCTCTTCCTCCCTCATCTTGGCTTTGGAGAAACTGTCCTGTGAGTTTCAGCGACTCAGAGAGGATATATCCTTCTCAGCACCTATATGGCCCAGTATTTTGGCTACTAAGAACAAGGGTCCGTGTGCGCAAGAGAGAGGATATAGTGGGTACACACCACGGGGTGCCCTATGGTTTTACTTGCGTGACCATGGAGAGGATATGAGGAAGTGGGATGGAAAACCTACCGCGACCCTAGAGGCACGGGTACGTGAGTTGCAAGAAAAAACAATTGCAAAAGGGGGTTCTTTCAGGAAAATTGCTTCTCCAGTTTCCAGGGGGCACTTTCCCAGACAGAGAAGGGCTGATCTTAATAAAGGATCTTCTGATTTGTATTTACAAGAAGGGAGTAACAAATATTATTACCAGTATTAGGGGCGCCCTGCCTCCAGCCAGGTGGAGGAAGGGGACAACTTGGATATACTGGACTGTGTGGATGGCCTGGCACATCAGACCCACAGGAGTGAGTATAAAGCTGTATTAGATGTAATTGCACAGTGACAGGAATCCCAACAGGTGACTGTATTGCAGGCTGAAGTGAGAATGAGTGGGAAAAGCACTGAACTGTGACAGGCCCAGAGGCTCTGTGCATCCTTGGCATAGACTGTCTCGGAGGGAGTACTTCAAGGACCCAGAAGGATAGCAGTGGGAATGTGGTATAGCTGCCTTGGAGATGGAGGAACTTAAGCCACTGTCTACTTTGCCCAGTCTCTTGAAGGACCCTTTGGTTGTGGGGTTACTCAGCCAAGTGGTATGCTGCTGTTGATAACTGCTAATGTATTTTTCTTAATAACAACCATTTCTCTGCCAGCTAGTGAAAGGGAAACAGGCTTTCTAAGGCCTTTTGGGGTTTTAGAGAATGCACATCCCAAATTACGGTCTGACTGTAAGCCTTCTCTGGCAAGTGACCCAGAAGAACAATTTCAAATGAGGCCCTAAGCAACAACAAGCCTTTGTGCTAAAGGTACACCATGTAGATGGTGTACCCAAGAGTCGGGCCACTGAGGTACAGCAGAACAACCAACAGGTGGATCAAGCTACTAAGATTGAGGTGGCTCATGTGGATTTATATTGGCAACATAAGAATTAATTATTTTCAGTCTGGTGTCCTGTGACACCTCAGGCTACCAAGAAAGTGATGCAACATATAGATGAATTTGTGATTCAGGGGTAGACTTGACTATGGACAAGAAAGAACTGAGTCAGGCATGGCATCTGGTGGTTATATCACATCCCCTGTCATGCACCAGCCTCTGGGAAAACTGAACAGTACAATGGGCTGTTAAAAACTACACTGAAAGCAATGGGTGGTGGGACCTTCAAGCATTGGGATACACATTTACCAAAGGCCACCTGGTTGGTCAGCACCAGAGGATCTGCCAACAGGACTGGCCCAGCCCTATCAATACTTTTATATGCTGTAGAAGATGATACAGCCCCTGTAGTGCCTCAGGCACAGGCAAACCCACTCGTGGGATTACTTTTGCTCAAGGACCTGGGTGGGTAATGTGGGAGGATGGGGAAGTCTAGTGTGTACCTCAAGGGGGGGCTGATTTTGGGTGAGAATAACCAATGATTTGACTTGTCTGATGTTAGTTGCTGTATAATACCATATGCCATCACTGCTGTGGTTGCTGTATACCATATTGACAGTATTACAGTAAGAATCACCCAGATTAATGAAGAATGAATTTTGATGGGTCGGAACTGCCTTCAACATGCAAGAATCCAACAGCACACACCATCGTCCTGCCCTGAAGGACTGTTACGACAGATGGAGCCCCAAGTTGTGGATTAAATGAACTCAGTGGACATTTTAGAGGGATGGCCTATAGATTAAGGATGTGATTATCTGTGCGTATTTATCAAAAGACAGGAGAGGTCATGATTAATAGGGATGCATTGAAAGGTGTGGGATCTGGGCATGACAAATATGGTATAGAATAATGGGTGGATATTGTCTTGGTTTCAGCTGGGGTAGAGTTAATTTTTCCCTAGTAGTTGGTAGAGTGCTGTGTTTTGGATTTAGTGTGAGAGTAACATTGGTAGCACACTGATACTTTAGTTATTGCTTAGTGCTTACGACTCAGTCATGTACTTTTCAGCTGCTTCGTGCCCTGCCAGTGGGGAGGCTGGGAGACGGGGGCCACAAGAAGCTTGGAGGGGACACAGTTGGGATAGCTGATCCCAACTGACACAAGAGATATTCCATGCCATACGAATTCATGCTGAGTGTATAAACTAGGGGGAAAGCCTGCCGGGGGCTACTGCTTGGTAACTGGCTGGGCATCGGTCAGCGGGTGGGGAGCAGTTGTTTTTCATTTGCATTGCTTGGTTTTCTTGGGTGTTATTTCTTTCTGTTGTTTTCATTACAATTCATTATTGTTGTTATATTCTATTCGAATTATTAAACTGTCTTTATCTCAACCCATGAGTTCTCTTTTATTCTTCCAGTTCTCTCCCACATCGCATTGGGGAGGGACTGGGTGAGGGGCTGTGAGGGGTTTAATTGCCAGCTGGTGTTAAACTACAACAACAGGGTATTTTTTTGATGAAGGAAGGTTGGAATCTATCACCCATGCCCTATAGCTTGCCCCTGACTGATGTGATTGGACCCCAGGATGCATGAAGTGCTTCCCTATGCAGTCTCAAAACACATTATATAGTGCCAAATTCTAGTAAAAAAACCCTCAGGATTTGTTTTTTCTTTGTTTAAATCTCTGCAAATGCAGTATATTCAGTCATGTTATCAAAACTATATTGAAAATGTCCTAACTAGACTAGAGACAAATATTTGCTCAGTTAAATCAGCTTTTCTTGGTGACTCTGTGTACAGAGCCTTTAGAACATTTCCAGTTGATTTCTCTGCTGACAGATAATTGAATTGTACCACTTAGGAGGGTTTTCTGCAAAGAAAGTAGTCAGCAAAATGATGTCTTGTTCTTAATTAGTGACAGCAGATTTCAGTAAAGCAGTCTGGGGACAATGTTTCTGTTAACAGTATCAAATTCTGGTTCTGTGTGCATCAGGTAGTACTGTTACCTGGAGCCTGTGTGTGTGGAAGCTGAGAGAATTCTCTTTCAACACAGTGCATTCTGTTTACTGCTAACTTACTGTTTCTAAATTGAACATAACACATGATGTTGCAGAGGGCAGAGTTTGAATGTGTTTGAAGAACTCATTTTTGTTTTGCCATTTCACACGCTGTATTAAACTCATGATGTTTGCATTTCAGCGTACAGATAGCATTAGACCTGCATTGAACAGTTCTGTGGAATGGCATATTACTGATCAGGAGGATACTGAAACTGTCACCCAGGTAATTTGGCATAAAAATGGGCAAAAAGCACAATTAGATGCTGCATGAACAGGTAAGTGCGTTTAGTTCTGTACCAGATCAGGTTGGTGGCAGCCCTTCTGCGCATTTCACACCAGAATTAACACTGCCAGGCAACTGAAGTAAGACTTCAGCATGTAGCTCCTGTAAAGAATTATCTGTGGGCTTTTCTTTTTCTTCCTTGGAAGGAAAGTGCTCTTAAGGTATAGAAAGAACAGAAGATCACGTCTGTGTTTACATCTGCTCAGCCCCATCTGTGAATATGAAGAACAAGATGCATCGCTCTTCCCCTTGTCTTCCCATTCCCATTCTGTATGTCTCCAGATGCTTGTCTTAAAAGGAGTCTCTTCTGGTTGTAAGAATTCTTTTGTATTCAGGTGGATGCACTTGGAGACATGGGGAGCTTTGGTATGAATGAAGTGGTATACAAACAGGACAAAGAGATAATAGCCTTTTTACACATAAAGCACAATCACGGGCTTTGCTGTTCTTCATCAAGGGCTTTATTAAGCAGAACGTGCTAGCTAAAATGGGGCAGGGAGAAAAAAATTAGCCTGTGAGTAGAGTAAGATCTCGGTCTACTTTTGTTCTCCCTGACTGTAATATTGTGTATATCTAACATTGTGTAGGCATTTCTGTTTTATAAACCTCTCATTCCACTGGCTTAGAGAGTGAGTTTGTGAGGTGTGTGACTCTCTGCCTCTGTGGCCTTTAATAACTAGCCATGATGATGAATGATTGTGTTGCTGCTCACCTTTCTTCCTGGCTGCCTGCAGTACCTGTGTCTCTGTCCGTCCTTCTACAGAAATTGAAAAACCCAAGAGTGGTGTTCACACATTGTGTCATTGAGCATGTACTCTTCAGTAAGTGGCATCTTCTTGCTTTGAATCACAGCTAAGCACTTCGCTCAAGTGATGTGTTCTGGCTGGAGCAAATGGCAGTTTGGATGGAGAATGTATTTTTGTTTTGTAGAACAGCAGAGTGGTAGCCTGGAGGTCCATGAACAGTTCTGACTTTTCCTGCAGCTGAGTGGGGCTGCTGGTGGTTGGGAAGGGGATGAACTGGTGGCCTTCACACAGCTTCTTCTGGTTGAATATTTCCTGTGCCAAATGGGATTCCTGTGCAGAAGGTGAAGTGAGAGACTGAGACTGCATGCACTGAGAGAAAACTTCTCACTAGGTAGTCACAGAAGCTCCAGTTGCTGTTGTCCTCTCCTGCCTCGTAAGTGCTTTCTGGATAACCACAGAGATCTACCTAGGAGTCAGGCTTGCTTACCTCCTTGCTATGGCTGGTATTTCTGTTGTGGAGAGACAACTTGGGAGCCCAGGGGTGTCCTTCCTCTAAGAAACTTCCATCACTTTTGTGTCTCTTTGATTCTGATTTCCACTTTTAACTGATTATCTGTCATACTGTAGATGTTCTCTTTCTTCTTCCAGAAAAATGTTGGTGTAGTCAGTCAAACTCTTGTCTGTGTGGAAAGCTCAGCAGCAAACTGAGCTCAGCAGCAACTACTTCAGCAGGCTGCACTTGATTTTTAAGACGTTTCATGAAATGCAGGTGGGAAAGGACATAAGCCATCATCATCTCCTCTAGGCAGTACTTGAATTTCCAAATAGCGGGTAGATGTAACTTCACACCTTATGACACAGTCCCTGAGAGAGACCATGGCAACCCTAGTTGCTTTGTGCTGCAGCCTTGTAGTAAGTTATACAAGCTTTCCATCTCTTTCCTTCTTTTATTTCAAACTAACATACCCACTGGGAATCTTTGTAGATCTCCAACAGGAAGTTGAAGATCTTTGTTGATGTACAACAGCAACTCCACTGAAGTTCTGCTTGTTGGAAGTAACACTTCTTAGGGGAACTCGTGCTCAAACTGAAGCACCCTTCTTCACAAGTAGCATCAGTTTTCCTCTGTGTCTTACATCATATTACAATTCTATCTAGAATTCAAAGGTCTTAAGATAATGACTGGTTTTTATTCCCCTGCCAAATATAGGTTATGGTTTTGGGGTGTCAGAGCTGACATAATAAGGGTAGTTGAGAGACATCTCTAAGCATCATCATGGTATTAATTGTGTTAAAGGTTTAGGAGATTATCCTTCAAATTTTGTGGTGTATTTATTTATCTGTTCCTGTAATCTGGGGTGGAAATGGGTCAGACTGCTCAGATCTAGCTTGTAAACTGTTACAAGGCTGCAGCTTGCCTGCTGCAGCACTTGTGTAGTGTCCCCCCCCTTCCCCTTGAGAATCCAGTTTGTTGTTATTGCTGAAGTACTTGGTGACTCTATTTAAAAATAGACATTTCTGAGGCATCCCATGGCTTTCACGAAACTGTGTCTTTCTGAGCCTGAAGGAGTAGTTTCTGTAGTGTACGGGTTTCTGCATCTGCGATCTGCCATCATACTGAGGCTTCTCATAACCTTTACTGCCATTGGTTTTCGTATTTTTGTC